TCCTACAAATTGGACTTTAAACTAAAATTAATAAAAAGATATGAAGGAGGTTACTTGCTACTCATCACAAGAGAAATCCATCAGGATGAAATCTCACTTGTGAACATTTATGCCCCAAATACAAAGGCAAACATGTCCGTAAAAGAAACATTACTAAATCTCAAGCCACACATAAAACCATAAACATTTATAGTTGCTTATTTCAATACCCCACTCACACCAGTGGACAGGAACACCAGACAGAAACTTAACAAAAATCAAAGAACTAATAGAAGTTATGGCCCAATTGGGCTTAACAGACATCCATAGAACATTCCATCCAAACACAAAACAATACACCTTCTTTTCAGTGCCACATGGAACCTTCTCTAAAATCAATCATATACTTGGAACATAGAAACCTCAACAGGTACAAAAAATTAAAATAACCCCTACATCTTATCAGACCACCATGCTTTAAAGTTAAAACTCAACAACAACACAAATTGCAGAAAACTGACAAACTCATAGAAATTAAGCAACGCCCAATTGCACAATTCCTGAGTCAAGGAAGAAATATAAAAAAAGAAATTAAATATTTCTTAGAATTTAATGGGAATGAAGACATAACATACCAAAACTTATGGGAAACTTTGAAAGCAGTGCTAAGAGGAAACTTCATAGTGCTAAGTGCCCCCCAACAATGGAGGAGAGGCTACCTTAAATTCCCTTCCCTGATTATGAGATTGATGACTTACTTATATGCCATCCTATAGCCTTCATCCAGCAGCTGGTGGAAGTAGAAGCACACACCCATAACTAATCACCGAACTGAACTGGAACCCAAATGCAGAGAAAGACCAGTGAATAGCACAGACATCCAGACCAGGCTGGTGAAACCCAAAGAAACAGCTCACCTGAACATCTGGGAATTCTTGCTACCCAGTCTGATAGCTGGAATACCAGCATGGGACTGATCCAGACCCCAGGAACATGGGTTTCAGTAAGGAAACCTCAGAAAACTATTGGACCTCCTGTAGAAGTCCAGTATTTATCCCTAGCATAGGTGTGGACTTTGGGAGCCCATTCCATATAAAGGAATACTCCCTGAGCCAAGACACACACAGGGCCTAGGCCCTACCCCAAAGGATACAATAGACACTGATGATACCCTATGGAAGGCCTCACCATCCAGGGGGAGCAGAAAAGATATGTGACAGATAGGGTTTTATTTGGGTGGGGGCTAGGGGAGGATGGGTGGGAGAAGGGAACTTGGATTGTCATGTAAAACAATCCTGTTTCCAATTCAAATAAAAAAGTTGGAAAAAAAAGAAACAGGAGAAAAATCACACATAAGAATTAATAGCACAATAGGATACAGTCAGTAAGACAAAATGGCAGCCCACAGACTGGGAAAAATATTTACCAACCCCACATCTGAGACAGGGCTGATCTCCAATATATACAAAGAAATCAAAAAGGGAAACTCCAAAACACCAAACAATCCAATTGAAATGTGGGGAACAGAACTAAATCGATGATTCTCAATAGAGGAATCTAAAATGGCTGAAAGGCTCATAAGAAAGTGTTCAGCATCCTTAGCCATCAGGGAAATTCAAATTAAAACACTTCTGAGATACCAACTGACCCCTGTTAGAATGGCTAAAATCAAAAACACCAATGATAGTTTATGCAGGAGAGGATGTGGAGAATGAGGAACACTCCTCTACTGCAGTGGGAGTGCCAACTTGTACATCCACTTTGGAAATCACTATGGAGACTCCTTAGGAAAATGGGAATCATTCTACCACAAGATCCAGCAATTCCACTTTTAGGGATATTCCCAAAAGATGCACATTCATACAACAAGGACATCTGTTCAACAATGTTCATAGCAGCACTATTTGTAATAGCCAGAACCTGGAAGCAACCCAGATGTCCCTCAACTGAAGAATGGATAGAGAAAATGTCGTACATTTACACAATAGAGTACTACTCAGCAGAAAAAAAATACAAAAAACAAACAAACAAACAAACAAACAAACAAAAAACAGAATCTTGAAATTTGCAGGCAAATAGATGGAACTAGAAGAAACCATCCTGAATGAGGTAACCCAGCAGCAAAAATACAAAAATTGGTATGTAATCACTCATCTATAGATTTTACATCTAGAGCAAAGAAGTAGCAGCCTAAAATCCAAACTGCCAGAGAAGCTAGTAAACAGGAGGATTCTATGAGAGACATACATCGTCCCCTGGGGAACAGGAAAAGGTAGAAGATCTCCCGAGCAAATTGGGAGCAAGGGAGCTGGGGGGAGGAATCTAGTAGAATGAGAAGGGGAGAAGAGAAGGGTTGAGGAGGACATAAGGGAGCAGAAAGTTTGAGTCATGGGAAAAATAGAAAAAAAAAAACATGAAAAAAGATACCATAATAGAAGTAGATATTTTAGGTTTACAGAGAAATCAGGCACTAGGAAAATGTCTGGTGATCTACAAAGATGACACTAACTAAAAATTTATGCAACAGAGAAGAGACTACCTTAAATGCCCTCCCGTGATAATGAGATTGAATACCATTTTATATGCCATCCTATAGCCTTCATCCAGCAGCTGGTGGAAATAGAAGCAGACACCCACAACTAATCACTGAACTGAACTGGAATCCCTTTGCAGAGAAGAACTAGTGATGGGCAAAGAGGTCCAGAACAGGCTGGTGAAACCCAGAGAAACAGCTGACCTGAACAACAGGGAGCTCTTGGTCCCTAGACTGTTAGCTGCGATACCAGCATGGGACAGATCCAGACCCCAGGAACATGGGTTTCAGAGAGGAGACCTTGGAAATCCAAGGGATCTCCTGTAGTAGTTCAGTACTTATCCCTAGGTTAGGTGTTGACTTTAGGAGCCCAATCCACATACTGGGACACTCCTTGAGCTAATAAACAAGGGGGGCGGGCCTAAGCCCTATCCCCAAGACATGATAGACTCTGCAGACCCCCTATGGAAGTCCTCTTCCTCCCTGGGGAACAGAAATTATATTGATAGGTAGGGTATTAGTTGCAGGGGATGTTAGGAGAGGAGGGGAGTGAGTGGGAACTGGAATTGATATGTAAAGCAATCTTATTTCTAATTCAAATCAAAAATAAAAAAAGAAAATCCACAGAACCAAGTTGTGTAGCTTGGTCTTGTATGACCTCTAATAGTGGGAGCAGGAGCTGTCTGTTGTATAAGTATTAAAAACACAAACACAGCCATTGATGTTCAAGCAGACAGATCAGAAAAACAAAGCAACCAACTATTAGGGAGTTCTCACCTTTACTAGTGCTCAGGCCAAAGTGACAATCATGTCCTCTGCTTGTATCTCCAAACTGCACTGATCCTCAGACTGCCTAGGCTCAGTGTTCTCCAACAAAAACTTAAGACTGGATCGTCAGACTGCACTTCTCCTCACCAAATCTCAGTTGGCTGCCTGAGACTGCCCTGTGCTCCTCATATTCTCTGAAGAGCTGGGATTAAAGACTTGTGCTCTGTTTCTCTTTTAGACTGATTTACTCTCCTATAGGCCAGGGTGTCTACTGAGTACTGGGATTAAAGGTGTGTGCCACCACTGCCCAGCTTCTATTGTTGTGTCTAGCTTTGCATTCTGGTCTCCAAGTAAGTTTTATTAGATCAAAAACAACATATCACCACAGCTGTCTCTGAATCTGATACATGCTTTTTGGAATGTTCCCTCTTACTGGGTTGCCTTGTCCAGCCTTAATAATAGAAGTGTCTTGCATTACTGTGACTTGATATGCTATGGCTGACTGATATACATGGCCTTCCCTCTTGGGAAGAGAAAGCAGGAGTGGATGGAGGTGTAGATAGTGGATTTTCTGGGAGGGACTGGGAAGACATGAGGAAGGAAGATGAACTGTGATTGGGATAGAAAATACAATGTGAATTGCCAATACTTTGTTATTTCAAAAATTAAAAATAATATATTTGAGTTATTCTCTTTTAAAATATTGTTGGATAGTATATTCAAATTTTATTGATTTAGGTGTACTGTTCTTATTTTTCAGCATTACATAGTATATGAATTTTTAAAAATGGGCTTTTAAATTTTTCAGTATAGATACGCAATTAGTATTCATGCATACATTTCATTTTTTACTTATTTGAGAATAAAATCTGACAATAGTGGAAATTGTCCTTTTTTCTTTCCTAAGTTGTATTGTTATGGCACTACAAATCCAATCAAAACCATTTCAGCAATGTGTCTTCTAAGAGAAACACCATAGCATCAATCTATGGGTTAATCGTATGTGAAACCAATTAAATAAGCATTGAAAATATCCATAGAATTTGAAAGAAAATGGATGAATGAAGAATGACATATGTATCACAATTTCAAGAAGCTAAAGTTCACATAAGGGAGAGGGGACTGAATGTGACAGAAAGTTTGGGACTGATTAAACTTACTTATTTGACCATTACACAGATTTATGTTTGCCATATATTTCATATTCTATTTCCATAGTGTTTAAAGTGCAGTAAATTAAAAACTGTAAATGTTCAGGTGTTGGGATAATTGTTCATTCTTTCAGAGCACTGGCTGCTCTTGCAAAGGACCTTGGTCTCTTACTGGATTTTCTTGTCCACCCAGGCCCTGCTACTTCATCCCAAAATGAACACTCAGATACACTATGTTAATTATAAACTGTTGGCTGATGGCTATGGCTTCTTATTGGCTAGCTCTCTCTTAATTATTAACCCATAACTACTAACATATATATTTTTACATGGCCTTATTTTACCAGAGAATGCCTGGTGTGTCATGTCTTCCCAGTCTCTACATGAAGTTTCTTTGAAGTTTCTCTCTGCCTACCTTTCCCAGAATTCTCTTCATCTCCTAGTCCTACCTATCTTCCCAAATCTATTGACCAAACAGTGTTTCATTCATCATCCAATAAGACCAACATATATACAGAAGGACATCCCCCATCCTGGGTCCAATTCTCAGAACCCACATGTCAACTCACACAATATGTAACTTCAGTTCCAGTTGGTCCCATGCCTTCTTCTGGCCTCTGTGGGAAATGCATTCATGC